GAATCTAACACTGAAATTTAGTGGAAGCTGCTATTTTATTGACATTAATCACATAAGTGATGGCAAAGTTCAGCTCAGAATAGGATATTTTAGTGTTTGGCCTTCTGAACAATTCATGCGTTTGTGTTTTCATGTTTTGGCAGCTTGATTGGAGGTTGAAAAGTGGCAGATGTCTTGGATTGCAGAATGAGATGAGATTTGATGCATTATCAGTGAAAAGCAGGAGGAAAAAAAGAAACACTAAGATGTTGCAATGCATTTGCAATGAAGTTTTTTTTATCTTTTTTGGATGAAAGACACAATATTACTATTTTTTTATTTATTCGCAAGAGTAGGCTTATGCTTTTTATCTAAGGGTGATGACTGTAAAATGAGCCTTCATAGTCTTTGTGGAAAACGAGACTTATTGCAACCCATAAAACTCCGACTGAAAAGACGTCCTGGCTTTACAGGAAATAAGACTTATTTTTCATGTGATGAACAGCCTCTGTGACACAGATGATTGGTGTACTAAATTTTCTTCATGATAAAGCTGAAGTATGACATCATTTGAGGGAGATCTGAAAGATTTTGCTCAAGCAGCCTCAGCGTTGTGTTTAACCAGTGCTGAGGTCATCCTGGTGCCTTTTAGTTTCGAAAAAGATGAGGCAAAGGAAAACAGCAGCTGTGCACGCACTCAAGGAAATTGCACACGTACTACGCTGGGTATCATTTTTTATTTGCTTTTAATTCTTCTCACGGCACGTTGTCAGTTTGAGTGACAGGTGGCAGAACATTTCAGGGTCTGTCTCCTTGCTTCCACGTGAGGCTGTCAGAGTTTGACTGGGATCCACTCAGGCTGCTGCAGAGAGGCTGCTCCCAGGTGGTTTGCTGCTGTCTGCCTGTCTTGAAAGTGCTCTGCGTCTGCAGGGCAAGAGAGAGAAAGAAAAAAAAATGGGGATGGGACTTGGAGGATGGGAGTTGGAGGGGGGTCCTTGTGGACCTTTCCCAGCCCGGCGTCTAGAGGATTTTACACCATTTCATCTCAAAAATGGAAATGTCACGGCTCGGTACATCTCCCCAACAATTGGAATCTGGGCCAGTGGTTTATTTATTTCATTCCCCACCATTCTTGTATAAGCTGCACCCTCCTTCACACAAACAGTTGTTTCAACTTTGTCTGGCGCTCCTTCTCTGTTTCTTTTCACTCCTTTGTTGTCCCTTCCTTCCTACATCAACCTTCTCCTTTCTCACATAAATGCAGCAGGGTCCCTGCCAACAGGTTTGCACTGATAGGGATGAGTGGTTTCAGTGATGTGAGACCCAGGGTGAGGGAACAAAGGGATACAGGGTGAACAGGGTGCCTGGTGACAGAAGGATGTCTGTTTGTGAGGGAGTGGTGGATAGGTGGGGGATTGAATTAGGAAAAGTGTGAGACCCAGATGAATGGGGGGAGGGTAAAAAGGTCCTCACTGTTAGAGCGGTTTGAGATTGTGATAGAAGATGTGAAAGTGAGAAGAATGGAGACAGTTTATCCCAGGGGTAAGGAAACACTTGTGCGACTCACTGTGTAATTAGCTCACGTGAATTACTGCTCCCGTGTGTTCCCTTGGTCGAGTGGGCTGTTTGTGACAGTCACACACAATGGCAAACGAAACGTGTGAAACCAAAGATGACCCATAATGACAGATTCCTTTTTAGCTAGTTTTGAGTGGGCTTGTCCCAGGAATTGGCACTGCGCATGCAGCAACATGAAAGAGCAATTTCACAGCTTCAAACAAATTCAAAATATTCCCTTTTTCGGCACGTTCCAATCACATACGCCTTGTTTCATTCTTTTTCTGGATGCATTGATGCCTTCACTTTTTTAGAAAGTCAGTGTGATGCACACAAGGCAGCAAATGAGTCAAATTTGAAATAGTTTGACAAAGAAAATGCCTTMGTAAAAAAAAGTCACTATTCATGTTATTATTAATTGAGAAGTGGCTAAAACACCAAAAAYCTACTAAAAACAAAACAAGGACACCCTTCACACCCAGTCCTATATGTAATCTTCATTACATCCATTATCCCCTCTCCCCACTCTCTGTTGTGTTGTTTGTGACACTTTGCTGTCCTAACTCATTAATACAAACCCTTTGGGAGCCATTGAGTGTCGAGAAATGCCAAACAGGGTTAACAACACCACATCTCTTACCCTGACAAACTGTAACATGTACTAATGGTCTTTCAGTTTGTGTGTGTGTGTGTGTGTGTGTGTGTGTGTGTGTGTGTGTGTGTGTGTGTGTGTGTGTGTGTGT